CTTCTCCTTAAAATTTTAGAATAACAAAAGAGTTAGGTGTTGTATACTTTCTCTATATTTTATTCCAATATTATATAATCGTCCATCAAATTCATAACTTATATATAGCTAATAAATATAATTATTTTAATTAATAGATCAAGTTTATCTACATGAGTTAGATCGAAGTTTCATTTAAATACAACAAATTCAACTACTATAATAAAAAATTATAATCGTAGAATTATTTGTTTCTAATAACAACAAACTAAAAAGCTAACGGAAATTTAGATGTTATTATTTTTTCGATTCGATTTATTCCCCCCTCCCCCCTGCCTTTTCAATTTAATTCATTGTTTAATAATGGAGTACCAAAATATTAGTAAAGGTACATATGAATAAGGCTATAAATAATATTTTCATTATTATCAGAACTTCAATTATTTTGATGAAAACATGCACTAAGCTTTTATGATACAACAACGTTTCAAGATGAGATACATAAAGACAAAGACGTGGACCCATCTTTAGTACGGTGCATATATATACATTTTAACAAAATTAAAATATAATTAAAGATGCATTCGTGATGAATATAAATTTATTTTTAACTTTGAGTGCTAGTATAAGTCGAAAACTTTTAGTAAGCTCATTAAATTTGACTTTATACTACTAAAAATATGATAAGTTTAATTTTAGAAAAAAATTAAAAAATTATTCATTAATTTAAATTTATAAATTATGTTTTGATCAATATTTTATTATTTGAATTATGGTTCAAAATCAATTACACTATTTGTAATCGTTGATTAATTTTTTTTATGATTATAATAACTGATTAGAGTTATGCAAAATATCGTAGTCAGTTACCACACGCAAAGTTTGCACGTCACTTGATCTTCTCTACGTAGCTAGTAGCTCTGTGTATGTATTTAAACACCATAGCTCACACAGTCGCAGAATAACAAAAATTAAAACATCAATAGCCAGCCATGGAAGGAAGAAATCTCTTCTTCCTCATGAGTATAATTTTGCTCTTAATTTTCACTTTCTTAAACTTACCATCTCCGCTTTCTCACACAACGGATCAGCTATTCGACTGCACCACTTACTCCCCGTGGTGCAGTTCGAAAAAGCCCTTTTTCCTCCGGCAACCGGAAAATTCCAAAAATCACTACGCCGATTTCCCCAATCATCCTTTAGACCCACTGACAATCGGCGAAATTCAAAAAGTGAAGAAAATCGTTCATTCAATTGCGGAATTTAGGATTAAAGGTTGCGTTCTTCACTCTGTTGTACTTGAAGAGCCGGAGAAGGAGGTAGTGTTGAACTGGCGGAGAGGTCACCGGCTTCCACCGCGGAAGGCGGCCGTCGTTGCGCGTGCGCTCGGCGTCGTGCACGTGCTTTCAGTGGATATTGAAACGGGTCGTGTGACCCGACGTGAAACGGGTAGTTATTCGGGTTACCCGATCCTGACTATCGAGGATATGATCTCCGCCACTTCTGCCCCGTTTGCCAACTCTGATTTTAACCGTTCGATTATCCAGCGTGGCGTTGATTTGGCTGACCTGGCATGTCTACCCGTCGCTGCTGGTTGGTATGGTAAGTGTCCTTAATTCAGAAATGAGTTCATTATATTGGTTTTTTTTTTTGAATTTGACTAATTTAAATTTATATTCAGGAAAAATCGAGGAGAAACGAAGAGTGATTAAAGTACAGTCTTTTACATTGAAGGACACTATCAATTTCTATATGAGACCGATTGAAGGATTAACCGTACTTCTTGATTTAGACACTCAACAAGTTATTGAAATTTTCGATGAAGGAGAGAGTATACCAATACCAAAGGCCGCCAACACAGACTATCGCTACTCTCGTATTAAAAAAAACAAACAAAAAATAAACTTACTCAAACCAATATCAATCGAACAACCAAATGGTCCAAGTTTCACTATAGAAAACAATCATCTAGTTAAATGGGCAAATTGGGAATTTCACCTGAAGCCGGATCCGAGAGCCGGGGTGATTATATCCCGGGTCATGTTTGAGGATCCGGATACGGGGAAGATGAGGAATGTTATGTATAAAGGGTTTACGTCGGAGTTGTTTGTACCTTACATGGATCCATCAGATGCATGGTATTTTAAGACGTATATGGATGCAGGTGAATACGGGTTCGGGTTACAAGCGATGCCACTTGACCCGTTAAATGATTGTCCTCGTAATGCGTATTATATGGATGGTGTATTTGTGGCAGCTGATGGAACACCATATGTGCGATCCAATATGATTTGTGTGTTTGAAAGATATGCTGGTGATATTGGATGGCGACATGCTGAATGTCCAATTACTGGTTTACCGGTAAATAGTTTCACTTTTTTTTTTTTTTTTTTTTTTAATATAAAAACAGTATATAGTACACTCAACGTTATTCACGGTGGAAAAAGTAAATGATTTAAATTTGTGATACAGTATCGAGACTGTTTGCTAATCGGGGTTTTTGTTTTTGGATACAAAAACCAAGAAAAGTAATTTTTGTTATGTGTCAAATACATAACAAGTGTTGCATGACATTATTTTCTAGTTTGATAGAATTGATTTTTGTTGGTTTTGCATGCAACTTTGGACAGATACGAGAAGTAAGGCCAAAGGTGACGTTAGTGGTGAGAATGGCAGCGTCAGTAGCAAATTATGATTATATTGTCGATTGGGAGTTTCAGAACGATGGACTTATTCGACCTAAGGTTAGCACAGCATTCATTGTTCGTTTCAATTTACGTAAATGTTATTTTAAATTATTATTTTATTGGGATATTTGATCAAAAACAAATAATAGTAGACATTTTATAGGATTGTAAGTTAAATATTAATTTTTTTACTTAAATATAGAAAAATATTATTTCTATAAAAAATTGATTTAAAATAATTGATTGTCACATAATTTGGTTATCTATATTCGCACTGCATAGTTCTAATGATTAGTCCTTCCGTTTTATTTTACCCGACCATGTTGATTGATATTATTTTTAAGAAAGTATTAAATAAAAAATTATTAATTAAATTAGCTTTATTAATTATACTTTGAAAATAAAAGTTTAACTACTAATACTATATAAAATCATTTAATGGCAAGGTTAGTATGAGAAAGAAAATGATAAACTTCAATCGCTTTTCTAAATTGAATAAGTAGAATAAAATATCTGTTTTTAATATATAGGAATCAATTAGTTTGATACATTATTTTGTTTTTTTTGGCTTTTAGTAATTAATTTTTTATCTACTAGTGGAAGCATTTATTTTTTTATATTTATTAGATCTAACATCCAACAGCCGATCATTTATTTATTTTTTCAATTTCAAATTATTAACATAAATATTCCCACATGTTTGTTAAGTTAAACATAAATAAATCTTATTCTTCTTATTCTTTTATCTACTGCTTTTCAAATACAGTATACAAGTCGGATCCCACAAAGACTTGGGAACACGAGCCCGTAGAATATTTATAATTGGAAAGTGTTAAATGGCCACAAAATTAAAAAAATTATATTTTTTTATTTTGAAATAAATTAATTTTTTTCTTCATTTTTTAGTTAAAAAGATATTAAAATTAAAAGAATAATTTTTTTTTAAAGGTGAAATAACATAGAAAAAATATCATTCTGATCAAATTCTGACTAAATTTTCTTGCGGAAAAGATTCTTCCATAACAATAATCACCAATTCACATCAAGTTCTTTTTCCTCCTTGGAGGGGTTGGGGGTGGGGTTAGGGGTTGGTCATTAGTCACATTTCAATATCAATTCCAAGTTGAATTTTAGATTCTTGAGCTTATGCACATTGATTAATTTTTAAGGAGTGTTATTTTTTACCTCTCATAAGCACAGGAAACTAGTAATTTTGATCCACATGAGAAAGGTTAAATCGATAGAAATAAATTACATAATGTTTTTACTTCTACCTGAATTGAACATGATACCTCATGATTATTCAACTGACTTCATTTATCGTTAGTCTAAGATTCTTTTGACATTATTTCTAAAGATTCTTTTATTTGTTTTGTTGTTATATAGGTTGGACTAAGTGGAATATTGATGGTGAAAGGCTCTCCCTATGTGAACATGAATGAAGTAAACCAAAATGAGTATCTTTATGGCACTCTCTTATCTGAAAACATAGTAGGAGTCATCCATGATCACTATGTAACTTTCCATCTCGACATGGACATCGATGGTCCATCGAACAATTCCTTCGTGAAGGTGAATCTCCAGAAGGAGATGACTTCTTCTGGAGAATCACCGCGAAGAAGCTACTTAAAAGCTGTTAGAAATGTGGCTAAAACTGAAAAAGATGCACAAATTAAGCTCAAACTATATGATCCTTCAGAATTCCATGTAATTAATTCTAATAAGAAGTCTAGAGTTGGGAACCCTGTTGGTTACAAAGTTGTTCCTGGTGGAACTGCAGCTAGTTTACTTGACCATAATGATCCTCCTCAGAAAAGAGCTGCTTTTACTAATAACCAAATTTGGGTCACACCTTATAATGAATCTGAGCAATGGGCTGCTGGCTTGTTTGTTTATCAAAGTCAAGGTGATGATACTCTTGCTGTTTGGTCTGACAGGTAACTTCATCCGTTTTGATTTTGTTCGACTGGTTTTGACTTGATACAGAGTTTATTTTAAAAAAAATAAATAAGACTTCTAAATCTTATCGTTCTGTTTTTTTTTTTCTTTTTCTGCAGAGACAGGGCAATTGAGAATAAAGACATAGTGTTGTGGTATACATTAGGGTTCCATCATATTCCATGCCAAGAGGATTTCCCAATAATGCCAACAGTATCATCAAGCTTTGAGATAAAACCAGTTAATTTCTTTGAGAGCAACCCAATTCTCAATATTCCACCTAATTCTCCAAAGGACCTCCCAATTTGCAAAGCTGCAGCTTCTGCTTGATCATATATTAATTGTACTATATGTGTATGATATGTAAAAATAATAATGATAGCCGCGCTAGACTTGGATTTTTCGGGTACCTTAGTCTGTAATTTTCATGAATGAAATATAAAAGTTCACATATGTACTATCATTTTATTTTAAATAATACATTGTATACTAAATACACTCATGCTACTCCCCTTGTAGTTTCTTGATTTTACTGATATAGATCTAAATTTGGTAACTTGGGAGTAGGGATAGCAAATAGCCTCTTACTTTTCTTGATGACAAGTCCAAATCCCTCTGAAAGATCAACGTTTTCGCCCTCAGGGAGTTTCCAATCAAAGGAATGCAACAATGAAGCTAACATAAACATGATCATTTTCTCTGCTAAGGGAAGTCCAGCACAAATTCTTCTCCCTGAACCAAATGGAAGGTACTTCATGTTATTTCCAGCATAGTCTAAATTTGTCGAGCGATTCAAGAACCTTTCAGGCTGGAATTCTAGTGGACTTTCCCACGCATGAGGATCCCTATGAATTGCATAAACATTTAAGAATACTTTAGTTCCTTCAGGTATTGTGTATCCACCTACTATTGCAGATTGGCTTGGGCGCTTTGGGATAAGCAATGGTAATGCAGGGTGTAAACGTAACGTCTCCTTTATAACTGCATCAAGATAGTGCAGCTCTGGTAAGTGGGATTCTTCAACAATGTTGTTCATCCCTACTACATGTTTCAATTCCTGCTGCACCTTTGACATTGTCTCTGGATTATTCAGAAGCTCTGTCATTACCCACTCGATCGTTGTGATTGTAGAGTCAGTCCCACCTATAACAATGTCCTACAATGAAGAAACATACATAAAGATACCACTCGACATTCATTTTAGGTATGAGTATGTATATCTTCTTTTTAGGACTTAAAAAAAAAGGCAATCTGGTGCAAAAAACATCGCGTATTAGCAAAGTCCGGAGAGAGCCACACCCTTGGGTGTGATTAGACAATCTGATTGTTTCCATGACTCTGACCAATATGTGGTTAGAGAAATGATTAGAGTTCTTGATTAAGATGCTTGAATCAGATAATTAGCTAAATTAATCTTACAAAGTTTGTATGACTGTTAAATTGAAGTGTGTGACCATCTCATCTAAAAACTTAAGTTGTTAGAGAGAAACACACTTTTATTATTTAATTGTACTTTCAACAGTAATCTGATGGGATTCACAGGATAATAAGGTTAACGAGAGGACGACGATATAGAAAAAAAGAGGAACGATATAACTTACCACCAAGATAGCCTTTATTTTCACCAAGTCTAGTGATATACCAATGTCTTTCTGCTCCATCAGCTCTAACAGGATCTGTATAAAGTCTTTCTTCTCATTCCCCTGGATTTCACCTTCTCTTCTGTCTGAAAGCATCTTCAAGTGTTCATTTATGGCAGGGTCCAATATACTTTCAACCGACTTCAAAAGAGCCTCCGCGTCTTTCTGTATTCCTTGTAAATCAAACCTCGCAAGCATGGGGAAGAAGTCTGATATGTTTGGCCTTCCCAGTATTTGAGGATATTTTATCACTAATTCCCTAAATTCAGTTCCATGCTTCTCCATCTCCTCTACAAAATTGCTGCCAAAGATCATACTCATAATTACATTCATTTCAGTTACAAAGGCTAATTCACCAATATCAGTGAGGCTGCCAATCTTGGTATGCACATTTTTGATTGTCTTTCTGACCTCCTGTCTCCGAAGGCTATAACAGGATTCAAGGTTCCTGTTGCTTAGCATCTCCCTTACAAACAGTTTGCGCATATCACGCCAGTAGGAGCCATAGGGAGAAAATCCAATATCTAGTCCACCATATGTGGCCACTAATCCTGCAATTGGAGGGTCACGGTTGGCAAAAATGGAGTCTTGATCGCGAACAACTTCTTTGGCTAAGGATGGTGAATTCAACACAACACATAGTTTTCCTCCTAGCCAAAACTTGTATATTGGACCATACTGTTGAGACAACTCTGTGAGCTGGTGATGCAAATTGGCGCGGAGGAATGGTAAGAATCCCACAATCGGAAGGCCACGAGGCCCTGGTGGCAAGTTGGATTCCACCTTGTTCAATTTGTACCAAAGAATTGTAAGGAACACAATTGAAACAGTGAGGGCTGCAATCCATAGATCATTTAAAGGTGCAGAAGCCATATTTAATGTGAAGGACACCAATTTTTTTTTTTGGCCTCACAATGAAATAAATTGCTCTAAATTTTAGCTCAATATATCCCTGTCTTTGTTAAGTACTCATTCTCAGTGTCCAAAAGGTCTGTGTCAAGCTGGCAAAGTAAGAATGAAGTGGCTGGTCAATAAAAGGGGATTCCTAATGCAGGTAGCTCTGTGTATCAAGGTTTAGACACATGAAAAGAAATTATATAAAATTCAACATAATTTTGTACATTATTTAGTTAGCTGATAATGTGAATTAGTCGTTATAATCCTTGCATAACTTGTATATCAACCAGACGACTAGTAATGCTGGAATTTAAACCTGAAACCTCATAGTTCTCCTTTAACTTCATTTATCACTATGCCATATTTTTCCATCATTGAACCTGAAACCTCATAGTTCTCCTTTAACTTCATTTATCACTATGCCATATTTTTCTATCATTAGATTTAGATCTCACATCATAACTAATTAAAGATCAGACAGTGTGATCAGTATATAAGTCATTTTTCGCGACCATAAAGATAAGACCTATGTTGTTTGTACTCTCCAAAATGTTGTCCTTCCAGTGTTGGATCCTTGAAACAGGCATTACTTTTGGAGAATCCGATATGCACCAAGAAACATATATATTTGAAAAATCTAGAAACATTGGATAAGACATGAACGGTTAAAGTCAAATGCAACCTCATCACGACATCAACTCATCAATAATGGAGCAGTGACCAAAATTGGTTTGAATTTGAACTGGGAAAAGGAAAGGTTTCTTTGGTCATATTTGAACACCTTAAAAGTTAGAAGGGACCTACCAACATCATATATATGACATAAATAACATACCATAAGAGATTTTTGCCAAGGAAAACTCAATATTCTAACACCATATATACACACACACACACACACACATTTATATATATATATATATATATATATATATATCATATATTACTAAAAGCATGAACAAAAAAGTTAAAAGTTGAATTACGATTTTACCCTTTCTATAAATTAAATTATTATAAAATATTTAAATATTTGATTGTATAAATTTAATTAAATGTTAATGACTTTTAGACTTCCTAAGATTAATTCCTAATTAAATATCTAATCTATTAATATTTATCATCTATAATCTATATGTATATAATAATTATAACTTTTTTAAAAAAAATCTTTACCTAAATTTCTTTTCTTTTACTCTTCTTATAACTTTTTCCTTAACGCCTTTCATGAATAATATAATTGATGTGGATAAAGTATTATCTTTTATGATAAATAACGAAATTTAATAATTTAAGGTGCAAATCTACAAAATGGAGACGCACATTGATAATGTCCTCTTGATTATTATTAAATATTAATGCTTAATTGCATGATAAGAACTGTGGTTGTTCTTTTTACATGGTTTGCTCACTTTAATTTTTTTTTCATATTCTTCATTTATTTATTATTATTTTCTAATTACTTATTTAACTTTTATACTCTTAATATTCATAACTCTATCTTTTCATATTCATAACCTCCAAATATTTAAACTAAAACTTTAAGATATCTTTTGATATTCCTTTTATTCTATTTATATAAATTTAACTTCTTTATCTCATGAAACCCCTATCAAGATTAATAGGCTATTATTTTTATTCTATAGTAAAAATAGATGATGAAGACTCTTGAATTTTTATAGGATATGAAAGGAGTCGATAAAAACTCAGAGAGTTATGTACTAATTTTGTACTTATTTTTTCATCTATATATACATCAATCTTATAAGAATAATGTCTATATTGTATTTTTTTCTTAAATATTCTGTTTCTTTTTATCTTTTTTTCACTCTGTTAGACTTCTTAATTTAGTTTTCTATGAATGTTTTATTGCCGTAAGTCTTTGAATTTTGTAATTGATACATTTTATTATTCATTACAATTTACATATATATTTCCATTAGATTTTAGTCATTCTAACGTATCTATAAAAATTCACATGAAACACACGTGCGAAGCACGTCCTCAGAAACTAGTATATATGACTCTGCAGAAACACAATATGAATATGACTATACAGTATACCTCCCCAACCTTACTGGTGCTTCAAACTTCAAAGAAAAAACCAGTAAAATAGCTGTTGTTTCACAAATTTCCGAAAACAACCCTTTTTATCTTTTTCTTTCATTTCTTTTGGAGAAACAAAAATTAAAGTTTCTCGTATCTGTTAGATTGATAGTCTGTTTGACCAAGCTTTGGTGAAGCCAAAAGTGCTTATTCAGAGAGTTGAGTTGTCTGACCAAGCTTTTAGGATAAAAATAAGTATTTTCGATTAGTAGCATAAGTTGACAAAAATATTGATCAAACACAAATCAATGATATGGACAAACTGCTATATTCCAAAAAAAAGAAATAAATAACTTCATTCAATGAGCACTTCTAACAAAAAAATACTATTCAAAATAAACAGATTTTGGAAGCTTGACTAAACAGACTATTAGTCATCCTTCCTAAAATAAGGACAAGTCCAGTTTTACCCGCACTCATTATTTACAACAAACTAATGAATATTGTCATACCCGTATTGGATCCTCAGGACCTGACATGCACCAAGCTGACATTTTTGAGAAGTTCAAAAGATAAAAACGGGTAAATGCAACCTCGTCTCCTCAGACCTCAGCAATAATGCAGTAGTGACAACAACTAGTTTGAACTTTGAACAAGTGAAAGAAAGTGACCAACCAACAAATACGTACTCTGATATTATAAATACTACAACCTGTGGGAAAAATCGTGTCAAGGTCCTTAAAGTTTCTTGGTTTTACTGATATAGCTTCAAGTTCGGTAAACTGGGAGTAAGGATGACCAATAGCCTCTCACTTTTCTTGAGGGCGAGTCCAAATTCCTCCGAAATATCAACGTTTTCTCCCTCAGGGAGTTTCCAGTCAAAGGAATGAAGCAATGAAGCAAATATAAACATAAGCATTTTCTCTGCTAAAGGAATTCCAGCACAAATTCTTCTCCCTGATCCAAATGGAATGTACTTCATATTATTTCCAGCATAGTCTAAATTTGTCGAGGGACTCAAGAACCTTTCAGGTTGGAACTCTAGTGGACTTTCCCACACTTGAGGATCCCTATGAATTGCATAAACATTCAAGAATACTTTAGTTCCTTCAGGTATTTTGTATCCACCTACTATTGCAGATTGGCTCGGGCGCTTTGGGAGAAGTAATGGTAATGCAGGGTGTAAACGTAACGTCTCCTTTAAAACAACATCAAGATAATGCATATTTGGTAAATGGGATTCCTCAACAATGTTATTCATCCCTACAACATGTTTCGATTCCTGCTGCACCTTTGACATTATCTCCGGATTATTCAGAAGCTCAGACATTACCCACTCAACCGTCGTGATTGTAGTGTCAGTCCCACCAATCACAATGTCCTACAATGCAGAAACACATATGAAGATAGGGGAAATGAAATTACTTGTAGCAGGAATTTTGTAATGCTTGGTTCTACCTGTAGGCAGAGGTGGATCCAGAATTTTAAGTCTATGAGTTCTGAAACACAACTCTTTTTATTTATGGAGTTCTGGATAAATTATTTATACATATTAAGTGAATTTCTTACTATAAGTACATAGTTCAGGTCAAAGCTACTAGTTCTGCCAAACCTGTAACTTCTTGTGGTTCCACTCCGGTGTGTGTGTGGGGACATTCATGTTTAGTAGGAGTATGTATATATTTACAAGACTATAAATAACAGGACAGATTAGTGCATAAAGTATCCCGCATTAGAAGGGCCGCACTACAAGGGGTTTAATATAGACAACCTATCCTGATGCAAACATTAGTGACTGCTTCCACCGCTTGAATACGTGAGCAACATGTGATTGGAGAATGGATTTGAGTTCTTAACTTAGATGTTCAAATCACATAATTAGCTAAAGTAGTCTTAAAAAGTTTGTAGGACTGATAAATCAATATAGAAAAGATAAAGGAACGATATAACTTACCACCAAGATGGCCTTAATTTTCACTTAGTCCAGTGATATACCAATGTCTTTCTGTTCCATTAGCTCTAACAGGATCTGTATAAGATGTTTCTTCTCATTCCTCTGGATTTCACCCTCTCTTCGGTCCGAAAGCATCTTGACACATTCACTTATGGCAGGGTGGAAGTCTGATATGTTAGGCTTTCCCATCACTTTCTGTATTCCTTGTAAGTCAAGCACAGGGAAGAAGTCTGATATGTTAGGCTTTCCCATCACTTGACCATATTTCACCACCAATTCCCTGAATTCAGTTCCATCTTTACTACACTTCTCCATATTCTCGACAAATTTGCTGCCAAAGATAATACTAATGACTACATTTATTTCAGCTAGAAAGGCCAATTCACCAATGTCAACAGGGTTACCAATCTTGGTATGCACATTTCTGATTGTCTTTCTGACCTTGTGCCTCCGAAGGCTATAACAGGCCTCAAGGTTCCTGTTGCTTAGCATCTCCCTTAGGAACAGTTTGCGCACCTCACGCCAGTATGAGCCACAAGGGGAAAATCCAATATCTAGTCCACCATAGTACCTACTAATCCTGCAATTGGAGGGTCATGGTTAGCCAAAACAGAATCTTGATCACAAACAACTTCTTTGGCTAAGGATGGTGAATTCAACACAACACATAGTTTGCTTCCTAGCCAAAACTTGTAAATTGGACCATATTGTTGAGATAACTTCGTGAGCTGGTGATGCAAATTGGTCGGGAGGAATTGTAAGAATCCCACAATCGGAAGACCACGAGGTCCTGGTGGCAACCTCGATTCTTTCTTGTGTGATGCCAATTTGTACCACAGAATTGTAAGGAATACAATTGAAAGGGTGAAAGCTGCTAGAAAAAGTTCCTTTAAAGGTTCCATATTTAGTATTAAGACACTTTCAGCACTTCTAATACTTGTATCTGTAAGGACACCAGTTAGTTTCGTTCTTAAATTTCATATCAAGTCAAAATCAGACAAATAAGGTGGAAAAAATGGACATATTTTATTCTAAAAATAAAGACTTCTACATCAGTTTAACTAGTGATATCGGCTGCTCTTCTTGGCTTGTAATTTTTTTCCTTGTTCAAAGATTTCCACGTAAAATTCTTGATGTTATTATTTTTCCATTTTATCCCCATTATTTGGACTATGAATATCCTTGTGTTATCCTTCGTTTCCCGACAGAAGGGACCAATGAATAACACATCAAAAGAAAGTGACTTGTCCTATATAGTAGAAAATGCACATGTCACAATTGACATAACATACATAAGGTCCTTTTTGCCAAGAAAAACTCAATCCTTCAATACCATATATAAAAATAAAATATCCTAAAGAATAAAAATATGTTGGACAAGACAAAAAACTGAACATTGAAAGTGTGCAGAACCACACGATGAATAAGAACATACCTGCTCAACTTTACTGGTGCTTCAGCTTCAAAGCAGAACTGATGTGTCTAACTAAGGTTTAAAGAAAAAAAAATTGTTTTTTAGGATGTGATATTTTTACGCGTTATATGACCACTAAGTAAATAATTATCACTGACCATGACTGTAACAGAGCTCAGGCCTTTCATAAGGTTCTGAATTTACAGAATGAAATTGGGGCTTATTTTTATCTTACAAACAGGAGCTTCATGCCTGTATGTTGCCAAGACTCTGGAATAGACCTACTGAACTAGTGGTAATTCAAGCACACTGAATTGTAGGTTTTATATTCTTAATTTCATCACACAGAACACGACACTCTGCAAACACATTTTTATCTTACTCATACAGTGTTGGATTGGATAATCTTGGAGTAGGTATAGCCACCAGAGGTATTTTCTTCTTCAATAAAATACCAAACTTTTCTGTAAGGTCTAATGTCTCTCCTTCAGGCAATTTCCAGTCGAAAGAATGAATGAGTTAAGTCTTCACATATTATCTGATGCTAAATTTGCCGACTCTTTCTTTAATGCAGTCCAATAACATGGTAATAAATAAGCCAATTTTTCATCTATGACAACCTAACATGTAACGAAATGGACTATTTCAAGTAAAAACTTTGTAACCAGGACCACATGTAATGAAAGTAAATTTTCAAGCAGAAGAGCCCAACCAACAGCTCAGGACATGATTCTACAAATCGGATTCTTCTGAAATTCATTTCCCATATTCTTCTATAAATTAACAAGCCCACAATCAGTATCATTAGATTTTGATCCTTTTAATATAAAAAAAAGAGAAGATCTGCCATCATGATCAGTGTAAGCCAGTATGAATAGTGGAAGACAAATACAAACTTGATTCTAGGCTACTCATTAATAATGCAGAGATGACTATTATTAATTTGAAATTTGTGAATTGGGGAGAGGAAGATTTCCTTTAGATTCATTTGGAAAAAGCAAATTTAGTAGAATGCACAACTGATAAACATACCATAAGTAAGGCTTTGATTTCAGTCATGGTCAGGTATTTTGGAATCTGCTTCATCTTTCAACTTTAGCAAAACTTGCAAAAAGTCTTTGGTTTCTTGGTCAACACCATTTCTGTCCAATTTTTGTCTTTGATCAATTATGCTCTCAAATATCTTTGCCAACACCTTCATCTTCTTTGTAACACCCTGGAAATCAAACCAAGCCAAGCCTGGGTAAAAATCGGAAAGATTGGGAATACTGCACAACGCAGCTATCTCAGTCACAACATGCCTAAACTCAGCTCCGAGGCTAGCTCCTTCCTCACCCTTGACTGTGCCACCCCATAACATGCTTGTCATCACATTAAGCACAGTCAAGAACATCTGTTCACCAATATTCACTGGTAAACCCTTCTTATTATAGAAAGTAATTGATTGATTGTCTAAGCTCCTTTTTCCTTAGTGCATAAACAGAATCTAAAGTAGAAGAACTAAGTATATCGCGAACACAAATTTTCCTCAACATGCACCATTTCGGCCCATAAGGAGTCCAAAGTATGTTATTGCCACCATATGAAAATTCGCTTCCAGCAGCAGGGACATCTCTGTTAGCAAAAATGGTATCTTTACCCTTACGAACCTCACGAGCTAAAGCAGGAGAAGTAATAATAATCCCAAGTGTTTTACCAAGCCAGATTCTACAAATGGGGCCATAAGTTTGGGAAAGAGATGCAAAATAGGTGTGAAGTTGAGGATCAAGAGAATGAAGATTATCTATCAAGGGCAAAGCTTTAGGCCCTGGTGGCAATCTCTTGTTTGAGTTACTGATGAAACACCAGAGTAAAGCTAAAAACCCAAGAAAACAGGAGAAAAACACACCCTTTTGCTCAAGATTGAGTTCTTGAAGACGCCATGGGAAAGAATCCAAAAGGGGTTTGAAGAATTTGAGAGACATTACTTGAGGGAAATGAAAAAATTGGAAGAAGCAAAGCTTTTGCATACTTCAGGAAATTTTGCTCATACAATTAGATATTTTAGATCATGTTTGTTTGAGTTTAAGACGATTGAAAAATGTTTTTTCAAATCAGCTTATTTTTTTCAAATTTTAAAAAAATGACTTTCTTCCTAAAATTGAGGAAAACATATTCCAAAATTCTATTTTATCCTTTAATATTTTTTTAACCTATCCATACCCCGTACTCGACCATCCACTTTCAAAAAGAATTAAAAATTTTAAATTTTCTTATTTTTAAAATTTCAAATATATTTTTGCTCCTATCACCAAACCACCCCTACCCTACCCCCTACTTCGGGTGTCGGGGTCGTGTCCTAAATCAAATATCGGGTTTCAAATCAGAATTATTTTCCTAAAAAATATATTCTAGTCTCAAATCAAAAAATAAATGATATTTCCTGAAAAAATATTTTATTCACCAATCAAACATTAAAAAAAATATTTCAGAAAATATTTTTTACTCATCTGCCAAACATAAAAAGTTTAGAAATCCTTTTTTTTTTCAACTAAACATTTTCCTTCGTACTAAACACACCCTAAGACAAAAAACCAGTACTATGAAAATGAAGCACATTTACCTCCCTAGTCCCCACTCATACAGTGGGGTTCATCCCATTTACCAATTTAACTTGGCTAACTTCAATTTCCTTGGAGACATGGAAGAGATTAAAACTACTCCTGTAGCACACTAGAGAGAGGCATCACAAAGGAAAATAGTCCGTGAGGAAAAATATAGTGTGTAAGCGATATTGTAATGAGGTGGGAAAATGAAAAGCGGATTATTTGTTTTGAATATGTTGTGGTTTTTGAAGTTTATTACTGCAAATTTCATTTTTGTGACGGGTTTATTCCCAACATAGACAACATGTTGTGAATCTCACGGTGTTAATTTAAAGATATATCAAATATATTGAAATATCATTTAATTTTGTAGTTGGAATTTAAGTGTTGCTAAAAAGGGCATTTGTTAAATTAAATGAAAAGAAGAGTAGGACAAATATAGTAAAACGGAGGGAGTACTTTATTTGGTAGGATATTCATTTTGTGCAACCTGATTAGTAGAGCGAATAACTAATACATAGTCTGGTATTAGCAATACAAGTGCTATTAATACATGAATAAGTAGGTTAAAAACATAATTATTCTTAATACATCAAACCAAACAATAGATGATAATAATCTTAGATGATAATAATCTTAGCATAGCTAAGTCTAGTATCACTAATCCAAACATTTCTAATACATCTTACTCATAGAGTATTGGATCAGACAATCTTGGAGTAGGTATAGCCACCAGAGGCATTTTCTTCTTCAGAACAATCCCAAACTTCTCTGTGAGGTCTAACGTCTCTCCTTCTGGCAATTTCCAGTCGAAAGAATGAATGAGCGAAGCAAGTGAATACATGAACATCCTCTCTGCCATGCCTATCCCCGCGCACAGTCTTCTTCCAGAACCAAATGGGAGATAGTTGAAATCATTTCCACTACAATCGCATTTATCGTCCAAAAATCTCTCTGGACGGAACTCAGTTGGATTTTTCCATATAGAAGGATCTCTCTGTATAGCCCATACGTTTATGAAAATAGAACATCCTTTAGGAACAGTGTATCCTCCCACAGTACATGTTTCACTAGGAGAATGTGGTGCCAATAGTGGAGCAGGTGGATGTAAACGCAATACTTCTTTAAAAACTGCATAGAGATATGGTAATTGCTTAATATGAGACTCTTCCACAATATTATCCTTTCCCACAACTGTTTCTATTTCTTCTTGTAATTTCCTCAGGATGTCTGGTTTAATCATAATTTCAGCCATCGCAAACTCAATCGCGTTGGAGGTACTATCAGTTCCACCAACAATCATATCCTGTACATAGTATTTGTGAAGTTATTATCATGTACAACAATTTTTGTAATTGTAGAACTGTATATTGGAGTTCAGTTCAAGATTCACCGTCTTAATTTACAGTTAAGTCTTCACATATTTTTAGATGCTAAATTTGCGGACTCTTCTATAAAGGCAGTCCAATAACATGGTAGCATGCCACAATAATTCTTCAATACATTTATGATCCTAATTTTAACTTGTATTAGCATTTGATCCTCTTATTATGACAAATAACACTATAAACCAATTTTTCATCTGTTAACTACCTAACAGGTAAGCAGATGACTATTTAAAATAAAAAGCAAACTTTTTAGGGTATGTTTGGTAAGAAGGAAAATGTTTGGAAAAGATTGTTCGGAAAATATTTTCAAAACTTATTCATGAGATAATAGGAAAAGAATTTTCGGAAAATGTTTTCCTTCATACCAAACACACCCTTAATGAAAGTGAATTTTCCTAGCAGAAGAACGCAACCAACAGCTCAGGACATGAGTTTACAAAGCTGATTCTTCTGAAATTTTATATAAAAAAGAAAAGATGTTTCTGTCATCATGATCAGGGTAAGCTAATACTAATCCATATAGATAAGGCATCTTTGGTTGCATCAGGATGGTTTCTTTTTGGAAAAAAACAAGTTTTCGTAAAATGCACAACTGATAAACTTACCATAAGTAAGGCTTTGATTTCAGTCATGGTCATAGGCATTTTGGGATCTGCTTCATCTTTCAACTTCAGCAAAACTTGCAAAAAGTCTTTGATTTCTTGGCCAACACCATTTCTATCCAATTTTTTTCTTTCATCAATCATGCTATCAAATATCTTCTCAAATCTCTTTAACAGCAGCTTCATCTTCTTTGTAACACCCTGGAAATCAAACCAGGCCAAACCTGGGTAGAAATCGGAAAGATTGGGAATACTGCACAGCGCAGCCATCTCACTCACAACATACCTAAACTCTGCCCCAAGATTAGCTCTTTCCTCACCCTTCACTGTGCTACCCCATAACATGCTTGTAATCACATTAAACACAGTCAAGAACATCTGCTCACCAACGTTCACTGGTAAACCCTTCTTACTATAGAAGTAATTCATCGATTGTCTAAGCTCCCTTCGCCTTAGTGCACAAACAGAATCTAAAGTAGAACAACTAAGCATATCGCGAACACAAAGCTTTCTCATCATTCGCCATTGTGGTCCATAAGAATTCCAAAGTATGTCATTGCAACCATATGAAATTTCTACTGCAGCAGCAGGCACGTCTCTGTTAGCAAAAATAATATCTTTATCCTTTAGAACGTCGCGAGCTAATTCTGGTGAAGTAATAATAATCCCAAGTTTTTGACCAAGCCAGATTCTACAAATGGGGCCATAAATTTGGGACAGAGATGCAAAATAGGTGTGAAGTTCAGGATCAAGAGAATGGAGATTACCTATCAAGGGCAAAGCTTTAGGCCCTGGTGGCAGACCTTTGTTCGAGTTACTGATGAAAAACCAAAGTAAAGCTAAAAAACCAAGAAAACAGACGAAAAACATAGCCTGTTGCTCAACATTGAGTTGTTGAAGGGGCCATGGGAAAGAATCAAAAAGGGGTTTGAAGAATTTGAGAGACATCTCAAGTTTTTGCACCTCTGAAGGAATGAGATAACTTAGATGAATATAAAAGGAGCAGTGCCATGAAAACAAATCAGAGTCACCCCCTGAATCTCGTGATGTTAATTGAAACAGAAAAAGTAGTTTGTTTGGTATCATAAGAAACGTGAAAAGGAGCAAAGTATGTTTGGCATTTTGTTCATCATTGATTTTTCAGCAAAAAAGATGCTTTCTTTCTTTGGATTCCCAGTATTCTCCTGAATCTCGTGATGTTAATTGAAACGGAAAAAATACTTTGTTTTGTATTATAAGAAACATGGAAAGGAGAAAAATTTGTTTGGCATTTAGTTCAGCAAAAAAAAGATGCTTCCTTTCAAAATTAGCAGATTAAAACTAATTGTTAGGTTATTAGCATTTTAATATTAATATTTAATATATTAAATTGCTTTATTTTGGAGTTATAAGAATGATCATTGATAGACATTTGTGTTTTAAACTACCAATTTAATCATGCTATTCATTTTTGACTTGGTAGCCATGTAATGCCATTACTTTCGGCTTTATTGGCTGAATTCATTGTGAGATAAAGACATTCCAATAAACATTGGAATGGATAACTTCTACATCATCCATTAGCATTGGTTATCCATCACTTATTTCAATCTTAATTCCTCCATTACTCTTTGTAACATATGTAACTTCTATAGTAACCTTTGTAACCTATGAAAATCCTAAGACCATTATCTTCACTATTTACTAGCTCCATTATTTTCCTATTCATTGCTAGGAAGACTTCTTGTAGTATAGATAGTGATGGTATTCATTTGGTTTGGTACACACAAAACACAAGAGGATTAGTTGAAGGGAAGTGTTTTTTTTTGTGGAGCTTTGGACTCAATTCTTGTCCAGAGTTGTTGAGTTATACTTTGTGAAGGCTGTTGTATCCTGGAGGGGACAAGTCAAAGAGGACTACTGCTGGACCGGTGAAAACATTTGCTGCAGTGGGCTTGAATCTCCTTAAAGAGAGCGAGATATCTGCCCTCAGCCTGAAGAGATTAATTTTGTCATTTTATTTTCAATTGTAATCTTGCAATTTTATGATCTTGTAAGTTTTTTCACTAACACTAATTATAATCATAATAGAGTCAATTCAAGAACTTAGATCAAAAGTGATCTATACCCCTATTTCGAAGAAACTAGGGACAATAATTAACATAAGACTAATTATCCGAAGGAATGAGATATTTCTGATGAAGAAAAAAACTAATTTGGCGGATGCATACAATGAAAATGAAGCAGAGATATCTTTCCAGTCCCCACTCATACTGTTACAATGTTGATTCAATGGAAATCGATATTTAATCAAGACCAAGAGCCCAAAATATTTAAGACTAACTGTTGACGAATTTCTAGCAAAACCAAATTTTTTATTTATTTTTTCTTTTTAAAGGAATCACTAGTGAATGACTCGAAGAAAAGCAGTAGGCTGTTGCTTTAGCAGGTTTGCTGAATGAATGTTTCAAGTGGAGACAGAATTCCGAATTTACATGTCTAAAAATCTTCTATTTACACGCCTAAAGATATTAATTCTTGATATCTCCTACATATGAAAAGAAATTGAACTATCATTACGCAAATATTTAGAGTTATTAGATTTCAAGTTTAGAACTATTGGAATCTACTGAACATGCTAAGATATAGGAGTATTTGATGTTTATTTCCATAATTCATCATACAAAAGACAGAATCATTATTTTCTAAAAAAAAAAGACGGGAATCATCATACAGAACACGATTCTCTACAAGCACATTTTTATGTTACTCATACAGTTTTGGATTAGACAATCTTGGAGTAGGTATAGCCACCAAAGGCATTTTCTTGTTCATAACAATACCGAAATTCTCTGTCACTTCTACTGTCTCTCCTTCAGGCAATTTCCAGTCGAAAGAATGAATGAGTGAAGCAAGTGAATACATGACCATCTTCTCTGCCATGGCTATCCCCGCACAGATTCTTCTGCCAGAACCAAATGGGAAATAGTTGAAATCATTTCCACTATAATCCCATTTATTGTCCAAAAATCTCTTTGGAAGGAACTCTGTTGGATTTTCCCATATAGAAGGATCTCTATGTATAGCCCATACATCAATGAAAATACAAGATCCTTTAGGAACAGTGTATCCTCCGACAGTGCATGTTTCACTTGGACAACGCGGCACCAATAGTGGAGAAGTTGGATGTATGCGCAAGACTTCTTTCATAACTGCATAAAGATATGGTAATTTCTTAATATGAGACTCATCCACAATATTGTCTTTTCCCACAACTGTCTCCAGTTCTTCTTGTAATTTCCTCAGGACGTATGGTTTGTTCATAATTTCAGCCATCGCAAACTCAATCGTGTTGGAGGTACTGTCAGTTCCACCAAGAATCATATCCTGTCCATAGTATTTGTGAAATTATTATCATGTACAACAATTTTTAATTGAAGTTCAGTTCCGTCTTAATTCACGGTTAAGTCTTCACATATTATCTGATGCTAAATTTGCCAACTCTTTCCTTAAGGCAGTCCATTAACATGGTAGCAACTAACAGTTCTTCGGAACATGAATATATGAATCTAATATCTATTACACAATAATTCTTCAATACATTTGTGATCCCAATTTTATCTTTTATTAGCATTTGATCCTCATATTTTGACTGATATCACTATAAGCCAATTTTTCATCCGTTAACTGCCAACCAGGTAAGGAAATGGATCATTTCAAGTATAATGCAAACTTTATAACCAACACCACATGTTTCCTAGAAGAAGAACGCAACCATATGACACAATGATATTGATCCTTTAAATATAAAAAAATAAAAGATTCCATCATGATCAGTGTAAGCTAATAATTAATGCATAGTATGAATGGTTGATGACAAATCAATCTTGGCGAATAACAATTATTTTTGATTCATTTGAAAAAAAAAACGAATTTCGTAGAATGCACAACTGATAACATACCATAAGTAAGGCTTTGATTTCAATCATGGTTAGAGGCATATTGGGATCTGCTTCATCTTTCAGCTTTAGCAAAACTTGCAAGAAGTCTTTGCTTTCTTGGCCAACACCATTTCTGTCCAATTTTTGTCTTTGATTAATTATGCTCTCAAATATCTTATCAAATCTTTTTACCAGCACCTTCATCTTCTTTGCAACACCCTGGAAATCAAACCAGGCCAAGCCTGGGTAAAAATCGGAAAGATTGGGAACACTGCACAATGAAGCTATCTCAGTCACAACATACCTAAACTCAGCTCCAAGGCTAGCTCTTTCCTCACCCTTCACTGTACCACCCCATAACATGCTTGTAATCACATTAAGAATAGTCAAGAACATCTGTTCACCAACATTCACAGGGGATCCTGCCTTGTTATAAAAGTAACTGATCGATTGTCTAAGCTCCCTTTGCCTTAGTGCATAAACCGAATCTAAAGTAGAACAACTAAGCATATCGCGAACACAAACCTTCCTCAACATGCGCCATTTCGGTCCATAAGGTGTCCAAAGTATGCTATTACCACCATATGAAAATTCTCTTCCAGCATCAGGGACATCTCTGTTTGAAAAAATGATATCTTTATCCTTTAGAACCTCGCGAGCTAATTCTGGTGAAGTAATTATAATCCCAAGTTTTTTACCAAGCCAGATTCTACAAATGGGGCCATAAGTTTTGGACAGAGATGCAAAATAGGTGTGAAGTTCAGGATCAAGAGAATGGAGATTGCCTATCAAGGGCAAAGCTTTAGGCCCTGGTGGCAGACCCTTGTTCGAGTTACTGATGAAAAACCAAAGTAAAGCTAAAAAACCAAGAAAACAGAAGAAAAACACACCATTTTGCTCCACATTGAGTTGTTGAAGGAGCCATGGGAAAGAATCAAAAAGGGGTTTGAAGAATTTGAGAGACATCTAAAGCTTTTGCACTGCTAAAAGATGCTTTTTTTTTTCTTCTGATTTTGCTGAAAGAATGAGATAATTTATATGAAGAAAAAAAGAGCAGCAGGATGAAAAAAAGCAGAGTCACCTGCTGATACTCATGATGTTAATTGAAACGAAATTTTCATGTCGTTCATCATTCAATTTTCCGCAGCTTTCTTTCTTGGAAAATTTGTATACAATGACAACTAATAAATCAAATTAAATGTTATAACCACACTTTGCTTTAATTGTGCCATGTAGCAAACTGTTAGTCAGTCCATCTCTTTCCCTTTAACTCTCGCTTGCCACTCTATCTCTCTCACTCCCTCCCTCCCTCTCGCTTTTATACAAACACAAATGTATAAAATGTATTTGTGTTTGTATAAAGGAGAAAAAATTTATTTATACACATATTTTCGTTCCCTCTCTCCCCTCTCCCAGATATCGCTCGCCACCCTTGCCTCTATCGCTTATACAAACAAAAACGAAATGTATAAATTGCATTTCTGTTTGTATCAAGCGAAAGAAAATTCTACAAACACATGTAAATACATATATCTTCGTCCTATACTCAAATTATACAATTGATTTGTATACAACTGCTTTCTTTTGTATATATATAGCTAATTATATTATTGGTTTCTTTATATATGTATAACAAATTATATAACTGTTTCTTTTTGTATATGTATAGTATTTATTTTTGCTATGAAGCACAATTACGCAAACTTTGCTATAACATACAAATATGAATTTTGTATTTGCTATATGTGAAAGTTGCTCTTCTTTCTTTATTTCATCTTATTTTCGCATATTTGTGGGATGAACATAATGTACCTATGAAGCTAATATAATTTATTGTGATGTTATAGTAATCTTATACTAGTATTAATATAATTCAAGTTTTTCGCCTAATTAGTCTATGTAATAAAAATTGATCTTAATTTCATCTTCTTTTTTGTTCGTGAAGAGAAAGCAACAATTTGAGAGGATAACATCAACTTCACCAAACAAAGTTCAACGCAAAGTTATTGTAATACACAATGTTTATGTATCATTGTATATGAAAGTTTAGACACATATATTATTATTCCGGCATGCAATATTTTAATTTTAGCTTTCAAATACTTTTATTATACTTTTAGCCGTTGTTTCTACTTTATATGTTAAGAGAGAATTGATATGTGTTTTAGTTTCTTTATTTTAGTAAGAATAAGCTTGCATTTTTCAAAACCAATATATTTAACTATTATATACTCCATTCATCTCAATGAAAAAAATTGAACAAATTAATATGGAATACACGTGCACGTGTCTAGATATTAGTTATACTAAAAGTGAAAAGTCATAAAGGTAATACCATTTTACCCCTATCCTAATTCAAATTGTGATAGTATCTATAAATCAAGTATTAATTAATCAAAATATTTTACAACCTTTTTACCTCCTAACTTATTTGCAAACTAAAGAGTTATGAAGTGATCATATTCATATTTAAGTTACAAAGTGACCAATTGATTACCTATTTGATTATGGGAAAGATTATCTCATAAATGTTTGTAACAATAAAAACTTAGAGGACCAAATCAATGATATAGTCGGAATAGGAAAAGAGAATTTTTTATAAAATAAGTCATTATTAAAATTAATTCACAAGGATAATATGCTTTTTTGAAAGTTTACAAAACTAGTATCAACGTATTTCTCTAGAACTTTTTATGTTATATTTTATTCAAAAAAAATTGATCACAGAAAAACAAAAATTCGACAAAGTAAACAAACATAAAATATTATTGTCAGTAACATTTTATAATTTATTATTCTAAGGCACATTTTACAGCTAAAACGTGACACACAATAACATTTCTCTTGAATGACTTAAAATTAAAATTCAATTTTGTACATGCTTCATTCATTTGTCAATTTTTCCACTATTAAGATATATATATATATCTATATGTATTGTACATATATTCACTTGAAAAATATATCATTTTCTACTTCTCTCTCTTTTCATACATTGGCAATACTTTTTACAATAAAAGGAAAAAAAAATGAGCAAGTTTTGCACAGTTTGGAGTTTGTCTTGTATCCTTTTAATTTTAAAATTTATAAATAAATTATATGAGAAATCGTTTTCTAGCCTAGGGTACTATCCCTTTCAAATATTAGATTAATCAATTTCTTATGATTATTAAATATTAGATTATCGATACAAAGGCTATTGAATTAAAACAGATGCAACAACTAAGCAAAATAACTATTAAAAAAAATATAATGGCTACATCATTACAGAAGAAACAAAGGAATTAATTGATATTGTGGTAAAGCCTTCCTCACTCTCGTTTTTCTTGCAAAAGTATTGTTTATGTATGAAAAGGAAAACATGCCTTCGAGTAACGAATTATAAAACGTCAGTGACAATAATGTTATATGTCTATTTATTTTGTCATATCTTTATTTTTTTTGTAATTTAATTTTTTTTAATAAAATATAACCTAAGACGTTACTGAAAAATACATTTATACTAATTTTGTAAAATTTTGAAAAATATATTATTTTGATAAAATTGATTTTAATAATGACTTATTGTGATAAAAAATTCTAGACAAAGATAATATTCTAAATAATTAGTATTTATTATTTATAACATTATAAGTTTGTATGACCTACTGGAATAGTCATTAAGAAAATATGTAATGGTGTATTAATCTATTGGAATTATTGTCATTTAAGTGTAGTTAATTTATTTTATAGCCTTAACCCATAATTTATCCATAAATCTACACCTATACGACTTCAATTACATTTTTTAATTCCTATAACTTTCTTTTATCCGTACATAAAAGAGAAGAATTTAAAAACCTGCATTCAATATATTATTTTGTTAAATAACATAAACAAAATTCATGTGATAACTATCAAAATACATATAAAAAGTCATTGTTTACTACTATAAATATAGAAATTTATGAGAAAAGAGATGATAAAGACACAAAACGACCACTCATTAATGAAGATGAACCATGAAGACTCAGGGAATCAACTTTTTTAATTATGTTAGATAACTTAGTCCAAAATTTTAGCATCATCATAAAGCATGATATTAAGTTATTTCGGTCATAATTAGAAGAAAAGATCACTCATTATCTATAAGTAGGAAACTTAGAATTATTCAATGCTCATTAATATTAGTCTTTGAAAGACATTAGCACATAACACTGATACTTACACATTAGCACATAACACTTAACACTGATACTTTTTTTTTCTTTAAAATCTTACTCATACAATGTTGGATTGCATAATCTTGGAGTAGGTATAGCCACCAGAGGTATTTTCTTCTTCAAAGTAATACCAAACTTCTCTTTAAGGTCTAACGTCTCTCCTTCGGGTAATTTCCAATCGAAAGAATGGATGAGCGAAGCCAATGAATACATGAACATCCTCTCTGCCATGGCTGTCCCCGCACACATTCTTCTTCCAGAACCAAATGGGAAATAGTTGAAGTCATTACCACTATAATCCCATTTATTGTCCAAAAATCTCTCAGGACGGAACTCTGTTGGATTTTTCCAGATAGAAGGATCTCTGTGTATAGCCCATACATTTACGAAAATACAAGATCCTTTAGGAACAGTATATCCTCCAACAGTGACTGTCTCACTAGGAGAATGAGGAGCCAAGAGTGGGAGGGCTGGATGCATGCGCATCGCTTCTTTCATCACTGCATAGAGATACGGTAACTGTTGAATATGAGACTCTTCTACTATATTATCTTTTCCCACAACTGTATCTACTTCTTGTTGTACTTTCCTCAGGACGTCTGGTTTGTTCAAAATTTCAGCCAGGGCAAACTCAACCGCGTTGGAGGTTGTGTCAGTTCCAGCGACAACCATATCCTGTCCATAGTATTTGTGAATTTAGTATCATGTACAACAAGTTTTTATTCGTAGAACTGTACATTGGAGTTCAGTTCAAGGTACTCGGTCATAATTCACAGTTAAGTCTTCACATATTATCTGATGATGCTAAATTTGCCGACTCTATCCTTAAGTCAGTCCATTAACATGGTAGCAACTTACAGTTCAGAAAATGAATATACGAATCTAATATTTATTACACTATAATTGTTCAATAATATTAAAAAAAAAAGATCTGCCATCATGATCAGTGTAACTTTGTAAGCTAATAAATAATCCATATAGATAAGGTATGAATGGTTGCATCTTGGCTACTCAATAATAATGCAGTGATAACTGGGGAGAGGAAGATTTCTTTTTGGTTCATATGGATAAAACAAATCTAGTAGAATGCACAAATGATAAACATACCATAAGTAAGGCTTTGATTTCAGTCATGGTCAGAGGCATTTTGGCATCTGCTACATCTTTCAACTTCAGCAGAACTTGCAAAAAGTTTTTGCTTTCTCGGCCAACTCCATTTCTGTCCAATTTTTGTCTTTGATCAATCATGCTTTCAAATAGCTTATCAAATCTTTTTAGAACCACTTTCATCTTCTTTATAACACCCTGGAAATCAAACCAGGTCAAGCCCGGGTAAAAATCGGAAAGATTGGGAATACTGACCAAATCAACTATCTCAGTTACAACATTCCTAAACTCAGCTCCAAGACTAGCTCTTTCCTCACCCTTCATCGTCCCACCCCATAACATACTTGTTATCACATTAAGCAAAGTCAAGAACATCTGTTCACCGATATTCACTGGTAAACCCTTCTGACTATACAAGTAATTGATCGATTGTCTAAGCTCCCTTCTCCTTAGTCCATAAACAGAATCTATACTAGAAGAACTAAGCATATCGCGAACACAAAGCTTCCTCAACATTCGCCATTTCGGTCCATAAGGACTCCAAAGTAAGTCATTGATACCATATGAAAATTCTCTTCCAGCAGCAGACACATCTCTGTTTGCAAAAATAGTATCTTTATCCTTAAGAACCTCGCGAGCTAAAGCAGGCGAACTAATAATAATCCCAATTTTTTTACCAAGCCAGATTCTACAAATGGGGCCATATGTTTTGGACAGAGATGCAAAATAGGTGTGAAGTTCAGGATCAAGAGAATGGAGATTACCTATCAAGGGCAAAGCTTCAGGCCCTGGTGGCAATCCCTTGTTTGAGTTTCTGATGAAACACCAAAGTAAAGCTAAGAACCCAAGAAAACAGGAGAAAAACACACCCTTTTGCTCAACATTGAGTTGTTGTAGGGGCCATGGAAAAGAATCAAAAAGGGGTTTGAAGAATTTGAGAGACATCTGAAGCTTTTGCACAGCTAAAAGTTTTTTTTTTTTTGATTTTGCTGAAGGAATGAGATGAATATAAATAGATAAAAACGAAGCAGAGTCACCCCTTGAATCTCGTGATGTTAATTGAAACGGAAAAAGTAGTTTGTTTAGTATCAGAAGAAACGTGGAAAGGAGCAAAATTTGTTTGGCATTTTGTGATCAGTCAAATTCAGCAAAAAAATCGTTTCTTTTTTTGGATATATCCCCAGCAAAATTTGACCTCTTTCACAATCATGGCCCTCAAATATCCAATCAGATGCCCTTCATCTAGTTAACACCATATAATTTTTTTTTTACAGGGTTACTTGAATAAACAAAAAAAAATAATGTTCAGGCAAAATTATAAAGATTGAAGACAGAAATTGATAGATTATAAAATTTGAGGATAAAAGTGCTAAGAAACCTAATTGATCTGAATATTCAAAATTAGTCGCCTTAAAACTACTTCTAATCCTAATAGAATCAATTTAATAATTTAGATAACAAGTGATCTAGACTCCTATTTTGAAAAAGCTGGAGAAAAAAATTAGTATAAGACTAATTAACAGAAGGAATGAGATATTTAGAATGAAGATAAATCCATACTGTTAACTGTGTTGACGAATAGTTAACAAAACCAAACTTTCAATTTTTTTTAAAGGAATCACAGGTGAATGACTAAGAAATTGAACTATCATAAGTTTAGAGCGGAGTCGGAATTAGGAGAGGAAAAGAAATTGAACTATCATTAATTCAGAGGTGGAGTCAAAATTAAGAGTTTGAGGTTCTAAATTTTTGGATATAAAATTGATGATAGAGTTTGAACCCACAACACTAGTGTAAAAGACATATCTACGTCCCCTTCCTTACCACTGAGCTATTACAGGATATACATTACCACTGAGCTATTACAGGATACACAAAATAGCTAGTGAATTCGTCCAAACACACAAACGCTCACCTAGCTCCGCCTCTGATCATTGCACAAATATTTAGAGTTATTTCATTATTTAACTATTAGAATCTATCAAACATGCTAACGTATTGGAGAATTTGATGTTCATTTATTTGTACCATTGAACTGTCAGGAGAGCTGCAAGACATGTTTTAGAAGTTTGAAGCCATGTTTTGCAGGAAGACAGTTTAATTATTGAAGTGATTCACACTGCTTTTAACATCAAGCGTGAAATTGCTTAAATTTTTTTTTTGCTCAAACTTCCTCATCTCAGAAAGTTATGTACATACTATAAAATTAATAGTTGTTGTTAAATATACTTCTTATTGGATGCTATAATGACTCTAGCTAATCAGTGATCCCAAAAAAGTCATGGACTCATGGTCTTCGTAACACAGTGATCAGTTAATTATCTAGTTGATTATGATATTATGGATAAAAACTATGTCATAAATGTCACTCTTGTAACTTTAAAAACTTAGAGGACCAAATCAATGATATGTTAGGTAACTTCGTACAAAATTTTAGCATCATCATAAAATCTTTGTATATATGTTGTTGTAAGATAACTGATAAGTTTCAAGAGATCTTGATATAGTTGAGTTACAACCAATTAAGTATATATGTTAAGGTAAGCATTGCTAGACTAAAATGACTCTATAACTTAGTTTTTGTTCTTTTTATACGTTATCATTTTTAGTCCACAGCACAAAGAAAGTGATATAATATACTATATAAAATTTATATTTACAATTTAAGTTTTTGGAATAAACATGCAAAGCACGTTCTCAAAGCTAGTTCTATAAAAAGAGGCTCATTACTTCTAACTTGGTAGAATTTACAATATAATCCTAAGGGCTCTGAGAGTTTTATTTAGGGAGAGATTTTTGTGAGACACAAGTGGTACTTTATCACTAGTGTGAGCCTCTTTTTAAGTTGAGCTAATTTTGTGAGGTTATTTCTCTCGATATTTTATATCTTTATTTATATAGTGGATCCCGTTTTTATAATTCATAATACAAAAGATAAAATCATCATACAGAACACGGCTCTCTACTAACACATTTTTATCTTACTCATACAGTGTTGAATTGGACTATCTTGGAGTAGGTAAAGCCACCAGAGGTATTTTCTTCTTCAAAATACTACTGAACTTCTCCGTAACGTCCAATGTTTCTCCTTGGGGCAATTTCCAGTCGAAAGAATGAATGATCGAAGCCAGTGAATACGTGAACATCCTGTCTGCCATGGCTATCCCCGCACAGATTCTTCTTCCAGAACCAAATGGGAAATAGTTGAAATCATTTTCACTATAGTCCCATTTATTTTCCAAAAATCTCTCTGGACAGAACTCTGTTGGACTTTTCCAGATAGAAGTATCTCTCTGTATAGCCCAAACATTTATGAAAACACGAGATCCTTCAGGAACAGTGTATCCTCCAACAGTGACTGTCTCACTTGGACAATGTGGCACCAATAGTGGAGTAGCTGGATGCATGCGCAATACTTCTTTCATCACTGCATAGATACATGGTAATTGCTGAATATGAGACTCTTCTACAATATTATCTTTTCCCACAACTGTATCTACTTCTTGTTGTAATTTTCTCAGGACATCTGGTTTGTTCATAATTTCAGCCATGGCAAACTCAATCGTATTGGAGGTTGAGCCAGTTCCACCGAGAACCATTTCCTGTCCATAGTAGATGTGAAGTTATTATCATATTCAACAATTTTTTAACTGTAAAACTGTATATTGGAGTTCAGTTCAAAGTTCAGAGTCTTAATTCACAGTTAAGTCTTCACATATAATCTGATGCTAAATTTGCCGACTCTTTCTTTAATGCAGTCCAATAACATGGTAACTACTAACAGTTCAGGACATGAATATATTTATTACTAACAATAATTCTTCAATACATTTACAATCATCTTATTATGACTTATATCACTATATGCCAATTTCTGGAAAAAGAAAATTTAGTAGAATGAACAACTGATAAAACATACCATAAGTAAGGCTTTGATGTCAGTCATGGTCAGAGGTATTTTGGGATCTGCTTCATCTTTCAACTTTAACAAAACTTGCAAAAAAGTCTTTGCTATCTTGGCCAACACCATTTCTGTCCAATTTTTGTCTTTGATCAATTATTCCCTCAAATATCTTATCAAATCTCTTTGCCAACACCTTCATCTTCTTTGTAATACCTTGGAAATCAAACCAGGCCAAGCCCGGGTAAAAATCGGTAAGATTGGGAATACTGACCAACTGAGCTATCCCAGTCACAACATGCCTAAACTCAGCTCCAACGCTAGCTCTTTCCTCACCCTTCACTGTGCCACCCCATAACATGCTTGTCATCACATTAAGAATAGTCAAAAACGTCTGTTCACTAACATTCATTGGTAAACCCTTCTGACTATACAAGTATGTTATGAGGAATTCGAGATAATACGAGAAAATATAAATGCGAAAAACAAGACAACAGATTTACGTGGTTCACCAATAAATTGGCTACGTCCACAGGAAGAGGGGGAGCAGTTTTATTATGGAGAGGCAAAAAACAGAATTACAGAATAGGGTTTGCCATAACATCTATATATAGTGCTAAGCTACGCCCTAAAAGGCTTGGGCCCAAAATACAGAATTGACAGATAATTAAGGGCCCAAACTGACCCCCGTTCTTTCTGTTGTAACAGGTCCGATTCAAGGCATTCAACAAATCTCCACCTTGACTTGAATTCTCCAAACAGATTCTTCAGACGCACTATGATAGTGCCACGCCTCCCCTCTTCCTCAGAATTGCCCCGCAGGGCAATTAACAGCTTCTGATGTTGAGCATTCCCTTCACCCTTACAGAATTGATCAAATTTAGACCAGCAGAATTCCAGCCCATTATCAGTTCGCAACCTCTTGATCTTCTTCCCTGTTTGATTTTCCATCAAAATTTTCCACTCCTTGAACTTCTGAAAAGCTTCACTTTTATGCTTCTTCATGTACACCCAAGTCATCCTTGAGTAGTCATCAATAATGGACACAAAAAATCTGCAGCCTCCCAAAGACTCAACACGGCATGGACCCCAGCAATCAGAATGAATATAATCAAGTGTGCCTTTTGTTCTATGAATGGCCTTTGGAAACTTGTTGCGATGTAGTTTTCCAAAGACACAATGTTCACAAAACTCTAGGCTCTTAACCTTATGACCAGCAAGAAGATCCTCCTTTGACAAAATTTGCATCCCTCTTTCACCCATATGACCAAGTCTCATGTGCCATAACTTAGTCATATCCTTCTGGTGAACTTTTGACGATGCAACATAGGCTGAACCTGTAACCGTGGAACCTTGTAGAAAATACAAAGTACCACGCATGACACCTTTCAGAATCAGATTTGAACCCTTCCAAACCCGTAAGACTCCATCTTTTCCCGACCAACTGAATCCCTTGCTGTCCAAAAGACTGAGAGATATCAGATTTTTCGTCATCAATGGAACGTGCCTGACCTCGTTCAATGTGCAGAAGCTACCGTCATGTGTCCTTATCTTGATCGAGCCTGTCCCAACCACCTTGCAGACAGAACTGTTGGCCATCGAGATGCTGCCTCCGTTTACCTGCTCATAAGTCGTGAACCACTCTCTCTTAGGACAAATGTGATAGGATGCCCCAGAATCGAGAACCCACACATCTGAATAATGAGTGTGCTCATCCGCAACTAGGGCAATGTCTTCTTCAGAATTGGTGTCTTCTTCAGCAACAGCAGCAGAAACTGATTGTTTTTCTGATTGCTTCTTCTTCTTCGGACAATCAAATTTCAAATGTCCCTTCTCCTTGCAGTAATTACAAACATCATCCGGCTTTGCACCCTTTGACATCGGCTTATTTTTTCTTTCTGCCGTTTTTCCTTCCCTTTCCGCTACTGGTGAACAGACCGGAAGGCTGTATGTCCGTACTTGTGCCGTTAGCCTTATGCCGTAATTCCCTGCTATGAAGGGCCGATCTGACTTCTTCCAGCGACACAGTATCTTTCCCAACAATGAACGATTGAACAAAATTCTCAAACGACATTGGGAGAGATACTAACAGAATCAGGGCAGCATCTTCATCCTCGATCTTCACATCAATATTACGCAATTCTAATAACAAAGTATTCAATTGCTCTAAATGTTCCCTGAGTTGTGTACCTTCAGCTATTCGTAAACCGAATAGACGTTGTTTCAG